ATCTTTTTGTTGGTCTCGACATTTTTGGACAAGAGTTGTGAAACTATACAGAGCTTCCACTGATCCGAAACCATTACGAAAGCCAAACTGTCCATTACTTATATCCACTTCGCACTTTCTGAATATTCTTGCATGTATAATCTTTTTAAATGTTTTTAATAAGTGTGAAATTAAGCTGATTAATCTGGTCATTACATTGTTTGGGGTTCTTGGTTTTTGGTAGCGGAATAAAGGTCGATAGGAGCCATTCGGTAGATAACTCACCAGATTTGTATATATTGTAAGAGTATAGTTATTGCACTTAAATTGTTTTCGTCTATAAGTTTAATCAGCTCGATATGAACTTCATTGGCCCAGGGGCTCTGCCAGATTTTGAGTTGTTTATAGCATGTTGAACTTCAGATTTTAATATTATTGGAGCTTCCTCGTTATCAATTTGTGTTGGTTCCGTTCTTGTGTCCATGAAAAGATCTTCAATATATTTAGTCCATACTTGTTTTATTTCAATTGGGTTATTAATAGGTTTATTGTTTTTGTCAATTAATCGGTTAGGTGTATTTGTTCGTGATTTTCCAGATAATTCTTTCACTTTTTTATGTAAATTATAATGATCATGCTTTTTCTGTAATTCTTCCACTTCGATGCATGTTTCCATCATCCACTTTTCCTTAGCCTCTTTTATTTTGTTCCTTATTAATTTATGTTTTTCTCTGTACTTATTTAGGTTTTTGTTTCTATATTTTCTTCTTTGTTCCATTATTTCCAGTATTTCTGAGTCATCCAAGGTTTTCGGCTTTCTGTTTTTTTCTGTAGAGCAGAATCTTTGATTTTGCTCTACATAATGTTCACATTCTCGGTGTTTTTCATTTCTGATGTTAATTTCTTCATTTCTTGATTGATACAAGTTGAAGCCTCTGCACGGATTTCATTTATCTTGAGTAACTGAGTAATCATCTTATAACTTTTGGATTTTATTATCTTTTTTATCATCAGTTTCATTTTTAAGACAAGTAGGTTATGGTTATGATCTAGTCATCGAGCAATAAGACAAAAGAGGGAATCTAATCCTTATGAAAAGGAGACCAAAAAAGTGGCCTCTGATGGCGGACATATCCGGAAATGCGAATGCGCGAAATTTAAATTTTCCGACACTTATCAACAGTAGCTATATAATATTTTTCAGAATGTGTCTTAGACGAGAAAGTTTTAATTAATTATTAATGATAAGAGTCTAAAATGCGACACAATTGTTAAAAAACTTCAATATAAATAAGATTTCATGTGACATTTGGGACAAACAATAACATAACCCAACTAAATTTGATGTCAAACAAGGAGAGAGACTCTCTTTCCTTGTTTAATGTGGCCTCTAAAGATCGCACTTCCTGTCTAACAATATGTTTGCCCCCACTACCTTTACATTCCCTCTATTGTCTTTTTGCTCGATGGATCTAGTACAAAGTAAAAGATACATTAAAATACTAATTCTAAAATTTCCAAAATTGTCTGTAACTGTCCTTAAAAACTCCTCGATACTAAAGTAACACTTTATACTTTTAGATAATACAAACTTTGCTCTATGGAATACAAAGATATTGCTTGAGAATCTTATGTCGGTAGGTAGGTTTTTATACACTTTTTTTCTAGTGTAAATATATTTTTTTAATTAATGTAAAGAGGAAATTTGAAGTGGAATGACATAAGTTAGACGAATGTTATAAAAGGAATCTGTCCGAATTTTCTGTTTGTTTTTTAAAAATTATATATACCTACACTGTTTATATCCACCTTTGTGTTCAAAAATTCTCGACCGACTACATACACTATTGCGTACAAACGGCTCGAGTCACAGCGTTAAAATCTAATATATTACGGGACGTCGAGTGCATCCTTTCTGGGAAATATCCACAGTCCACCTTAGAGAGATCATATCTAGGCATGGTGTTTGTCCCTACGCCAGGAACTAGACAGAACCAGGCAAGTTGAGCTTCGACGTTATTTTCTACCTGCCAAGTACAATATTTTAAGAGGGGTAAATTAGTTCCTTTGTATCAATGATAATTTATAAATGAGGCCAATGGACCAATTACGTTGGCAAAAATAAGTCTTTTTCGTCTCAGAACTGTATAGACGAGCTTGCGGGTGCTGTGAAACGTTCACTTCTAGGAACAACAACTTAGCCATGGAAAATACAGTTACTTTGTAGTAATAGGTTCCATCGTTCCGGTGACAGACAGGTAACAGGTTCCGGTAACCTATTACTTTTGTCATCTATTACCAGTAATCATAATATAATATGTATTTTTCAATAAAAACGAATACTTTCTACTGTTTATAGTTTATTTTTGTTTCAACCGTGAGTGATAAACATTATGCATACGTTTGATGGTTGTTAAAAATAAACATTAAACATATACAGCTGACAGAAATTTAAAAATAGATGATTTAACTACTATACTATACTATAAATCATAAAGAAAATATTATTGATATACATAACTTATATATATATATATATATATATATATATATATATATATATATATATATATATATATATATATATAAGGCGAGAGGAAAAATATTAGTGTATAAGATTATTCTATTAAATAACGGTTGAAATTTAAAAATAAAAGTTAAAACATAAAGCTTATCATAAATTTGGTGACAATGACCATCCTATTTTGTTACCTATTAAGCTACCGATTACCGATATTGTCACGTCAAAATACCAAATGCCGATTCGAATACCACTAATACCAGGGCGTTTTACGTTACAGTAACACTGTGACAAAAGTAATAGGCAGTTTCCTACTAGCGTCTAGCCGTTGGCAGGTCAGTATAATCCTGACCAATCCAATCGCACTTGATTTTGTGTGTAGCGCGTCATTCAAATTATGTACAGGTTTGAATGTAACAGTTCTCATTTCTCATATCACGAAACGTTCTCAGATTGTTCACACAAATAAGGAGTTATGTTTAATTGTTTTGAATACACAGAAACTCATAAAAATGTTGTAGACACTTCAACGGAAGATAGCAAAATCAAGAAAGATTCTAAGAAGTGTCCTTTGTATAATTTTTATTCAAGTTATGTTGCAGAATTGCATTCTCATTTTCAAGAAGAACACAACCTAATCCTAGAAAGTGAAACACTTCAATTTTCCAATTTAGTCTCTTTTCAGGAGTGGAAATGTTTTATTGAAAGTAGTACAAAAACCAAATACGTTAAAGTCGAGAACTTTTCCGCAAAGACTCACAAAACAATGAAGTTTCTCTGTCATCGGTCAGGCTGCTTTAATTATGAAAGCAAAGGAAAAAGGCACTTAAAAATGAAAGGCAATATAAAAATTGGTGGATTTTGCCCAGCAGTCTCACGGTTGTGGTTGATTTGGCAGAAAAAGTTGAAGTCAATTTTATAAAAACACACATTGGACATCAAACTGAGATTTTACAGTTATTTCCAAGTCTATCTGAACGTCAGTTTATTGCTGATATTTGATTGTGGTAATTATTTTTATTATACAACAACATAACAAATAACAACAACTATGATCTATAATAATAATAAGTGACAAGCAGACAAGCCCTCCCTCACTTGTTGCCAACTCACAATAAGATAATATTCATAATATGTAAAATAATAAAACTGTGTATTTAAAACAACTAAACATTACTTCTTGTTTGAGTGAACAATCCGAGAACGTTTCGTGATATGAGAAATGAGAACTGTTACATTCAAATATGTACATAATTTAAATGACGCGCCACACACATACTCAAGTGCGATTGGATTGGTCAGGATTATCCTGACCTGCCAACGGCTAGACGCTAGTCAGTTTGCTGTAACCTATTATTTAGAAAACGAATACTTATTGGTAATAGTGATATTTATCCGAATACGTTATATAACGCCCATCTTTACAACAACTAGACAAAGTTTCGTACTCGTTAGAAAGGATTTGATGTTTTACTGTAAACACATAATTAAATTTATAAACAATTTTCAAGAGTGGAAAATATCATTGTTGCTAATTAAAAAAAAAGATTTGGGGGAGGTAGAAACGCCATGATTTGGAACCAAGACTAAAAAAACTGGCCACATCTGTGATGAGATATAACAAAAGACTCTCATCTAGAGATTCATCAATTTTTTATTGGGACTATCTTTAAATTCAAAACGTCAATCATGCCAATGATCTTAGTTGTCGAGGCATTAACTCAATAATAAATAAAAAACGTCAATCTCAATATTTTGCTCATAACTTGAAAACTTTGACGTTAACAGACAACTTTTTTAGGAAAATGAGTGTGTGTGTGTGTGTGTGTGTGTGTGTGTTTTATTGGCACTAGTTTAACAACCAACTGGCCAGTCAAATTATTTTGTTTTCTCTCTTTACACAAGATAGGGTTAGTATTTATATTTAAAACTATTGTATTGTATTGACAGTGAAGACATGGAATGTTAGAAACTTACTTACTAGTTTACTCTGTTTTTGCTGTTTTGTTTTTTTTTGTATCTTTTTTTTTTATTTTTTTTAAATTTTTTTTACTTAATATTTTTTTATTACTACGCTAAGACATAAACTCGATTCAACACCTTGGATTTAGGAAAAAATACACAAAATGAGATATGCTAAATTAAAATTGATTAATAAATAAAAAAAGTTATTGCAAAGTGAACAACAAAATCGCTGTTTTAAATATTGATAATACCTTTTTTATTATTTATTAAAATTTGTTTAAAAGTACCTGAACTTGAGGTTCTTAATCGTGTTCGAATTGTGTACAAAAGTTGGGCCAGATCGGTTGAATAGTTTTTGCGAAATTTATTTTGTTTTTAAGATTTTTTTAACAATAAGCCAATTTCTAAGCTGGCCCAAATAATTTGTGGTAATGGATTAAAAATCATTATAAATATTTCAAAAACATTTAATAACTCACAAATTAAAAACTCTTGGAAAATATCTTCCAAATCATTCAAAAACAACACAAAATGCATTTATTTCTTAAACTATGAGGCAGAAGTCTCGATTCTGGCTCTCTTTGGTCAAGGCATTCATGACACCGCAAAATCCTATTGAAAAAAATCATTGAGCAATTCTTCTAACGCTATTAAAGCATTTAAAATGCTTCAGGGCGTTCAGAAATCTATTAATTTGTGTATCACGACATATCTTCCAATGCGGGAGGAGATTGGTATGTTGGTGTGGAAGATTTCGTGAGTTAATTTATACCTAAAACAAGAATCTTACATTAAATATCAAAAAATAAATATTTTCACAATTCTCTTACCTGCTTAGTATATCAGATATAGAAGGTACCAAAACGTCGTAGCTAATAATATGGGACGGTAGAGTTCCATTTGGTGGATAATTCTGCCTTAACCAGTCTGTGGGACTTTTGTAAAAAGCATCAGCTTCATCTATATAATTATCTATGTTACTGAAGTTTGGCAAACATGTCAAAAATCTCGTGGTAACATTTACATGAAGATGACTAAAATAATAAAAAAAAATTATAAAGTATAATTATAAGATAATATATTTGATTTTATCAAATGATAATAACAGTGATTGTAGATTAGTTAGATCAGATATGAGATATACGATGGCTGTCCGATAAGTACTTAGCCTTTCCGTCCGATGGCGCCTCTATCGAAAAAGAAATTTACTATCGTATAGTATATTCTCGTAGACTGTTAATGGGAAAATTTCAGCCTAATTGGACTCGTAGTAGTTTTGTTTTCGCGTGTGGAAGCGGGCGTGTCAGTGGATTTTAGCAAAATGAAAAGAGAGTAATATTGGTTGGTGATGTGATTGTTGTCTTGGAAGGGAAATCACGAAGCGAAATCAAAGAGCACTTGGATGCTGTGTACGGTGACTCTCCTTCTTCGATGACAACCATCAAAAAATGGTTTAACACGTTTTAACGTGCTCGCAAGTCGGTTTTTGATGAGCTACGCCCAGGTGAACCTAAAATGGCTACCACGGAGGATATCGTGACAGAAATCCACGAATTATTGTCAGACTACCGATTGAAGGTGCGTGAGAGAGCTGAGGCAGTACGAATCTCAAAAGACCGAACGGGTCATATCACACATAAAATTTTGGACATAAAAAAGCTGTCGGCACGATAGGTGCTGCGTTTGATCCCTCCGGACAACAAAAGCAACCCTTAAACTACTTCAGATCAGTGTTTGTTGCTGTTTAAGCGCGATACGAAGAAGTTTCTACGTTATTTTGTGACCGTCGACGAAACATGGATCCACTGGTTCACACCAAAGACCAAGAACAGTTAAAACAGTAGGCTTTACCCCGCGAACTCACACCAAAGAAGGCGAAGACTGTCCTATCGGCCGGAAAGGTGATGGCCACCATTTTCTGGGAATCACAAGGTGTGATCTACATCAACTACGATCACAGAGCTATATTATGCCGAATTAAAGAAAAAAACTGTAAAATTTGGGGACCAGTGCATTTCCACCATGACAACGCACCGTCTCACACCATCGACCAGATTGGTCGACGTGGGTGGGTTGCAAACTGCTGCCCATCCACCGTTTTCTACATATTTGGCCCCGTGCAACTACTTTTTTTGTTCCAAACTTAAAATACTTGTTCTATAAAATTTACCTGTACAATGGTGTTGAATGACAAGGCATTAAAAATAGCAAACTGGTATCTTGCAGATTCTGTTTGGATACCTCTCGTAATGGGGTCATGACATCCAGTGTACCTCTTTGGTGTACCATTCCCAAATACCAAGCTGGACCTAAATTTCCAATAAATATTACGACTGCTACTAACCATATGGAAAACCTAAAAATGATTACGGTGTTATATAAAACATTCTAAAGTTCTATACTATATCTATATATTATATATATATATATATATATATATATATATATATATATATATATATATATAAAACCTAGTGTTAACATTAACACTATTACAATAATTAATTAAACTCAACAGCTTTCGGACGTCTTTTATGTCTTCTTCAGGGTTCCGAGGTCTCACTGATCACTAACCAATGCATTACTATGCATATACTAATGCAGTAATACATTGGTTAGTGATCAATAGAGGAAGTACTTAGGCCATTATATTACACGAATAAGGTTGGGGCTATTGCCAAATAGGTGAAAAATTTGGTAGGTCCAATTCATCAGTATCGCAAATGGTTGAACGGCACAAGTTAGTTAAATGGTGAGAATAACAGAAGAGTTGGAGTGGACAGAAACCGTGTCACTACCCCCCATTCAAGACTATTTGTTAAGAGTAAGAGCTTTCTACCCTAAAACAACGATTTGTAACAACCCGCCTGTGTAAGTGGCATTAAAATAAGCCTGGAAACAGTTTAATAACGCCTTCTAATTAGCATCTTCACATTGCTGCCCGTGATTCAGTATTAACCAAAGATCATTGTAGAAACGTCATTGCAAGCGAACCATAGATAGGTTTTGACAAGAAACATGTAAGAATCCGATTGGAAACAAGTTCTGCAGACAAATGAGTCACGCTTTTGCTTGCATACAAGTGATATTCGCTCCGTGCGTGACTGACGCGACACCTACCGCCTTCATCTGATAATTTTGGAGTCCCAATTTTTAGGTTAAACATATGACATATTTTTGACATTGTTAAATACATGCGAAATTGACAATTATTAATAAATTAGTTTTTTAACTATATTTTTTCAGTTTATGTACAAAATAAATGTAGTATTAAAAACTGGGTTTCTCAAAATTCATCATAATATATCTTTTCAACTCCCAATGGAAAAGAAAGGGAAAAATCTAGTACTGGCAAATCAAGTTTTTCACGCAAAAGAGCATATAATTAAAAACAATAATAGTAAAAGTTATGATATAAAAGCTAAAGTCATCTGCAGTTAGCTTGAAGCCTTATGAAATATCATTCAAGGTAAATTATTTAAATTTTTCCTATTTCAATTGCATAAAAATGAAATTATGTGATATTTACTTTTTCATATTAATAGCACGAATTCATCTTTTTCTTTTCTCTAATTTATATTATGTCATCTTTGGGAACCTATAAAAACTACACTCACTGTTTTTGCTATTATTAACACAATTAAATACGCAACATGTATTTGCACACATTTTTGATAAAATTTATGCATAAAAATATTTTGTCCAATATTCCAATTTTGTCATATTTCGCCGCTACGCACGCTGGCATCGTTTCAATGTACCCCTACCATGGTCACGCACGGAGCGAATACGAGTTCGTGTTTTTAGAAGGCTGGAGGCCATTTTATTTGGTGAGGGAGCGCTTATGGTAGATCATGGCCCGGAAACTTATATGAATAACCTTGGAACATTTCCCCATCACTTGGACCCCAGTCAGTTAATAAAGAGAAACGACAGTCTATCTCGATCACAGAAACTTTAACCAATCATTTATTTTAACACAATCTCTGGGTGTCACAAATAAAATAATCAAACGAAGCTTAATTGCGCAATGTCAAATCTGGCAAAAGTAATGACAGATCTTCCGTTGGTTTGCGTTCCGTTAATTTTAATTTAAGTCGGCTACTTAGTTTTTAAAGTTTAGTTTTAGTTACCTATTGTAGGAAAGAGTTTTTATGTTGTGAAGTAAAAAAAATACACATGGTGAATTATTGTTTCGTACCGTTGTGTACAAATCATGGAAAAATTACAAAAATGCATAGGATTCTATGGATGATGATAGAAAGTTATCACTGGAACTCAATCTATTTTCTTGTTCTAATTAATAAACAATAATATTTTGTTAATATGATTTTATATATTGCAGTTATGTCAAACTTGTAGTGCCCAAATTAATTATCAGAAATTAGCCATTAGAAATGTCATTTCCAGTAACAAATGGTGTGAATTATTTTTAAAAAATAATAGCTCCCTGTAGGAGCGTCAATTTTAAAAATTGTCAGGAAGCAAACAATAATAGTGTTTAACATTTGTTTCCGAAAATATCAATGTCATAAAATTATGTAATTAGTTTATAACTGTTTTATTTTAAACAACAAATAAATACACGTATATCTAGAAAAAGTGTGCTTTTTTTATATATCCTTTTATTTTTTTAATAATATATGCGAGATTATTTCACTGGAAAATAATAAGATATTTTCAATTTTCCAGTAAATTTTAATTAGTAAGGATATAGCCTGCAAGAGGCGCTAATGGCAATGTGGGTAAGGGGTGTCCATTTGAATTTCCCGCCAAATGATGATTAGTAATGACCCCACTCGCAAGTTGAGTTGCCTATCTACCTGTATATACTATTTACCTATGATCAAGATGTTATCGAAAAATCCCTAAATGTCCAGTAATGTTTGGAATGTCAGAAAATGCATATAAACATAGCTAGTTGACAGTCCGAATAACAGTAGTATTTGAGTATTTTGAAGTTTATAGTTGTCATTATATTAAAATAATATAATGTCTTTGGTGTTGAATAAATTTATTTTAAAGAAGTGAAACTGTCGTTTCAGAATATAGTTTCTAAGTGTTCAATGAACCGCAGTTAGAGAAGCAACCAATTATAGAGTTTTGAAACATTACTGAAACCAAGGAGCTATTACAGAAGCACTGAAAATATCAACAGGAAGAAACCCCAAAAATTATTTTCTAAAATAAGATGTCTACTTCAGATTAAGTTTTAGCAGACATTAATAGTGACAATACATTTGCAAAACATGAATAAAGACAAATTGTGAAAAATTTTGCACAAATTAAACTTCATTTAGCACAATAGATAAAGAGAAAGCACTAATATTTTTTCTAGAATGAAACATGAATTAATGAAGAACATTGTGTAAAAAAAGATTGTCAAGATAAATGTTACTTACAAATGTTCATCAGGCAATTACTGAAGGTTTATTTGTCTAATCGATTAAAATTTTAAACTGAAAGAAATGGGTTCTGTTTTCGAAGATTATTTTGGTCAAATAATACATTTCATGCCAATTAATTATGTTATAGTCACAGACCATGTCAGTTACCATTCACGATCAAAAGAACCGTTCTCTAAGAATAACTGGAAAAAGAAAGACTGTTAGATTGGTTAATAAGCTAAGAAATATAAGAGTGTTTACAGAAATGTAAATTACATTCCCTAAAATTTAAGAAATATGCTGTAGATCTGTAGATGAAGTAGCAAAAGAACATGGCGTTCTTATTAGGGTGCCTGTCCATTCCGAAAGTTGGCGATCATTCTGGCTGTTATGACTTTGTTGGTTGCTATACGGAATAGCTGTGTTGAGGTCTTCCTATACCATGCTTTCAGGTTAGCAACCAAGATATTCTTCGACCTGGGACCCGTTTTCTTTCAATTTTTCCTTGCAAGATGCATTGGAGTAGCTCGTTACTCCAATCAAGTACTGCAACAAGGAGTTACAGTGTTGCAATTTCCACCTTATCATTGTTATCTTAACCACATTCTCTGTATCTGACTATAATACCACATTTGAAGCCATTCGTCAACTACTAAATTTAGTAGTACAAAATAAAAAACTTATCTGATAATTGGCAAAAAGCTAAAAGACATGTCATAGTAGAGGAAGAAAAATTATGGAAACTTGATATGATAATAGAAACAATGATAGAGCCAATTATAATTTCTTTGGAAAATGATGAGACATGTTATGAGAGCAGACACAGAAAACATAGAAATACTAAACATTATCCAAGGAAATATCTTCTTCTTTTGGTGCCTATTCGTTTCGAATATTGGCCATCATTCTGGCTACAATTATTTTATTAACTGATGCTTTAAATATATTTGTTGTTGTTGTGGACAACCATTTTCTCAGGTTTCTTAACCATGATATGTTTCTTCTCCCTCGCTTTCCGAATACTTTGCCGTGAAGGATTATTTTCAGTAATCTGTATTTAGTGCCGTTTCTCATTATGTGTCCCAGAAATTCTAATTTTCTCGTTTTAATTGTTTACATCACTTCTCTTTCTTTCCCTATTCTTCGTAGTACAGTCTCGTTGGTTATCTAGTCCGTCCATGATATACTTAGGATTCTTCTGTATAGCCACATCTCGAAGGCTTCAAGTTTTTTCTCCATCGCTTTAGTGAGTGTAGAAGATTCAACTCCGTAGTATAATATCGGGAAGATATTACATCGTAGGAGCCTTACTTTTATCTCCAGATTAAGGTTGTGGCTTTTAAAGAGTTTGGCCATGTTGGTTGAATGCACTCCTAGCCTTCTCTATTCTACATTTTCTTACTTCTTGTGAGTGATCCCATTGTTCGTTTACTATTGTTTCAAGATAGGTAAACTGTTTTACTCTGTCCACTGATGTATTCTTGATAAGCAGACTCTCTTTGCATAGCATGTATATTCTGTGATGTATAATTTTAAGAAAAAGTTTTAGTGTATGTCTCATTAGACTTATTCTCCACATTTGTTCGCTCCCTGTTTCTTTGGTAACGTAATAAATTTTGAAACTAGCCAATCTTTTAGAATATTGCCTGTGTCATAGATATTATTGAAGATTTTACCTTTGAATTTTCTATTTATTGTTTTGCTCACTAATTCTTTTACTTTACTACATTTTAGCTTTCTCATGTCATGTTGTTTTTTATAGTTTTTCTGCATGTTTTCTTTAACTTGGTTCTATACACGCCCACTAAAGGATTGTGGTCAGTTTAAATATCAGCACCTGGGTAGGTTTTAACACTGTTGAAACTATTTTGATATCTTTTGTTAACAAGTATTTACTCTATTTGGTTTCTTATAATAACATCTTCTCCGTTGTCTCTAGGTGATTTCCATGTATACAGGTGTCTAAGTTGTTTAATATAATATATAGTTTTATAGCACGTTACAGCATTATAGTAGCATTGTATAGGGGCTACGTTACATACACATGACATGGCTTACTTCAGGAGTCAACAATCAACCTACAGGACAGATTGACATGTTTTGATATTGATAAGATTGTAAAAAAATATAAGTTTAATTAGTACAATATTGTTTAACTTATAAACCCATAAAATATAAAACATGGCGCAGTCAAACAGTTAGCTGGGTACAGTCGAAAAACTAAATTTTACCATAAAAGAAAAAAAAAACTTTAAGAACATGAGGCACGAGGTAACATAACCTAAAATAGCAATGGGAATGAGTGGAAAACTACCACCAGATTTTGACCTACAGGGACAAAATGCGGCAAGTGAATAGAAGTTTATCAAAACCTGTTTCGAAGATTACTTACTAGCAACAGGACAAGACCAGTCAGCAGATAAAATAAAACTGTCAATTTTAAGAAATATAATTGGAATTGAGTCTGCCAAAATTATGTCCACATTCGCCATCCCAGAAGACGAAACCAATAAGTACGATTTAATGATGTCACTAATCGACAAATATGTTAATCCAAGGATGAACGAATCATTTGAAAGATACAATTTTATCACGAGAGTTCAGAAAGAAGGAGAGTCATTTGAGCAATTTCTTACTAGTTGTAGACATTTGATTCGAAAATACAATTATAATAAAATTGATCCAGAACAAACAGCCGAAGATAAAGCTCTGAGAGACAAGATATTGATGGGCATCAGAGACTCAGTTACTAGAGAAGCTGTATTGAGAGTAGACTAACTTACCCTACAAAAGGCCATCGAATTTTGTAGAACTAGTGAGCAAAGTAAAAACCAAAATTTGAAATTTCATAACGAAACGAAAGATGTGGATATAGGACAAGTTCATAAAGAAAGGAATAAAGATAAGTTCCAGGGCCATAGAAACTATAATAACTCTAAAAGTAAAACCAACACTAATGAAAAATTCAAGTGCAAACGGTGTCAATTAACTTATGGAACCAGAGAATATCCAGCATATGGAAAGAAATGTAAGAAATGTGGGATTTTAAACCATTTTGCAAAGTCGTGCAGAGTCAAAAATATTGATGTCATAGATGAAGGTAGCAGTGATATTTTTGTAGGAAATGTTAATAAAGTATACCAAGATGTAAGTTGTCAAAATATTTGGGATGAAATTATAGAAACTGAAAATAAAAGAATTAAAGTAAAACTTGACACAGGTGCTGATGTAAGTATAATTCCATTAAACATTTTTAAGAAAATTGATAAACAGTTTAAAATTAGGCATATTCAGTATGTACTTAAAGGGTTTGAGGGTACTCAGGATAAAACTATAGGTGTTGTAAATTTAGTTTGTAAATATAAAAATAAGTATGTTTATGATGACATCACTATGATTGATGGGGCAATGCGGGTTCTGTTTCAAAAGTTCGAAATGTTTTGATAATTTAAAGGACATCATTTGTAAATCACAAGCTTTAATCCTAATCAAAAAATTATTTTACAATATGATGCATCTAAAAATGGCTTAGGTGTTTGTATGTTCCAGAAATATGAAAAAGTTTTAAAATTAGTAGCTTTTGCATCACGAAATATGAATGATAGTGAGATAAATTATAGTCAAACTGAGAAGGAACTATTGGCAATCTATTATGCTACTCAAAAATTTCACAATTTTATTTATAATTTTGATGTTGATGTTCAGTCAGATCACAAACCTATAATCTCCATTATGAATAAGCCAATTTGCAAAATTAGATCAGTTAGAGTCCAATGTTTAAGACTTAAACTTCTCAAGTATAGATTAAATGTTTATTTTGTTCCTGGAAAAGACATACATTTTGCTGATATGCTATCTAGGTCTAGTTTAAATATAAATACACAAGACCCAGAAATGTTTGAAATGGTTCATTCCGTGAGTAAACATTTACCTATGAGTCAGGAAAAGCAATCTGAGTTAAGACTAGCTACTAGTCAGGATGAAGCATTGGCAGTAATTTTTGATTATTATTACAATCGGTGGCCAAAAGAAAAAAATGTTCCTCAAGTATGTAAAATGTACTATGGTATAAGAGATTCACTGTATTTTGAAGCTGGTATTGCATTCATGCATGACAAAATAATTATTCCGAGAAAACTTAGACTTGACATGATAAAATTGCTTCATAAGGGCCATATAGGAGTCAGTAAAACTATATAAAAAAAGCCAGGAGTATATTTTATTGGCCAGGAATTAATGATGATATAATAAACTATATAAAAAAGTGCAGGATATGTGAGAAATATAGACCAAATAACTTTAAAGAACCAATGATGCCTCATGACATTCCTAGAGTAAGATTCAATAAAGTTGGTACAGACATTTTAGAGTATGGTTCAAAGGCATATTTAGTAATTGTAGATTATTTTTCGCATTGGTTGGACATTTCAGTATTAAAAGATAAAACCTCCAGTTCAGTAATCAACTCATTTACAGAGACATTACAATTATGACATGCACCCCACATTACCACCAGAGTAATGGACTTGCAGAAAAAGCAGTCAATATAAGCAAGCAAATTAAAAAAAAAAACCATGAGGAAAATAATGATTTTAGGGATCTTGTAATGGAATATAATAAGACCTGCATAATAAATCTCGATGCATCTCCAGCTCAAATTTTACAGAGCAGGATCCTGAGAGAACAATTACCAACTACAGCTAATAAATTAGAACCTACAATCCAGAAACAAGTATATGAGAATTTGTGCAGAGAAAAAGAAAAATTACAATTACATTATGATAAGACATCATGAAGAAAACCAGTAGAGTTTAGAAAGGGAGATAGTGTAGTAATAAGAAGTTCAAAAGATAATAATTGGCAAATTGTAATTAATCAATTGTATTAGAAAAGGCAAATGAACCTAGATCATATTGGGTGAGAAAAGAAGGTAACAATAGAATTATTAGACGGAACTCACACCAAATGAAACACTCATGTACCAGAACACTTGAAAAAGAATTCATTTTAGAACCCGAGTTGTACCCTGATATTCAGTCACAGAGCGTTCATAAAGATGCTGCTAGCAGCCACGCAAATGATAGTGTTAATAAAATAATTGGGTGTCCAAGCCCAAATGTAAAATCAGTACCTATGTTGAGTCATAATGTCAACCCAAATATTGAGACGACTTCTAACAGTTATAAGACCAGAGTTGGTCGTAATATAAAAACCCCTTATAGATATCAATCTTAGGGGAAGGTGTTTAATATAATATATAGCTGTGTAACAGTGTAGCAGGGGGCTACATTACATACACATGATATGGCTTACTTCAGGGATCAACAATCAACCTACAGGACAGATTGACATGTTTTGATATTAATAAGATTGTAAAAAAATATAAGTTTAACTAGTACAATATTGTTTAACTTATAAACTCATAAAATATAAAACATAAGTAGTAGTTTGTAAAACAAGAAAATATAGAAGGCTAAAGATCCCAACAAGCTGCATCAACCAAATTACAGGAATATACAAAAAATCTATGCATGAGTTTAAAGAAAAGACCAGAGAAAGAGATTTTTGGAGGAACTGAGGAGAGTGATGTCATAAATGTATGTGTTTTATGCACTAGACATGCAATTCTGGCTTAAACTTTAAAGTCGTTCATTTGCATTTTATGTTGAGTTCTATTTGAAGTTTGTTAGGGTGGCCATATTAGTTTTATAAATTCTTAAACAAAACTGAGAGAATAAGATATCAATAGTTATCTCCAGTCCTATATAAAGATTGTTATAATCTTCTGTCATTAAATAGCCTTTTGCAAAATGGTTTTAAGGATGTATTGTGCAAGTCCATATAAAAAATATAAAGATCTGTTAACTGAATAAAATTACTTACTTGTTGGCTTTTCTACTCCAAGCTGATAAGAATCTGGATGATATATAGAACACCAATGGCAACAGAGGTAATAAAAATCTAAATTCCTTGTGAGGTAAATAACTAAAAAGTAAATGATTGTTAAAAATTAATCAAGATTTTGTATGCATTTAAATTGTCATATTTGTAAAACCTTTACCTGTACACAGCCAAAGTAAAAACAATTGTCCCAAGCATCACTAACTCATTGGGATGTACTTTTCTATTTTTCAGAACAACCACTGTAGCCAGAAGAAAAGGTAGTACTTGTATACCTAATATCCCAGGCAACCCAGAAGATAAATACCAATGCCATGGTTGTTCTCCATAAAATGAACTCAAATTCTGAAGAAGGTTAAACTTTAAAAATCCGTAGGGCGTTATCAAAAGAGATCCATGGCATAAGCTGTCAAACATAGTAGCTAAGGATAATATAATAAACCTGCAAAGTAAAAAAGGTCTTATGCTCTTACAGAAATTTTTCATTATCCAATGTTAAACTATGCAATTAAGTCTAAATACAAACAAATAATTTACCCTATTGGAAAATATTTGGTGAGGGTGACATTTAAGAATGACTTTTTGGTTATTTTCAAATGATACAAGCAAAGTGGAAGCCACACTATGGCACTGGTAGGTCTTATACTAAACAATAAAGCTGTTATCCATAAGAAGGTGGAAGATTCTTCTAAAAAAGAAAATGAAATTAATCTGTGTATCAGTGTTTAAATAATACTTGATGATTTATTTTATAAATAATATATAAATAAGTACTTTTATGTTTTGTCATGTCTGTTGATACCAATAATTAAAATTTTTGTTCTAAAAACAGTCTGATAAAATGTACCTATCCCTTTTCCTGGCCATGGGAATTTTGATAGAGCAATTGTGGTTAAGGAACACTCCATGGTATTTATCAGAGTCCTGGATCCAGTATAGAACCAAAACCATGAACTTGCCATTGCGAATACTGCCCATTTTTTGGTTCCCGACCATTTGTAGAAACACAGATCTGAATAGGAGCTGAGAAAAGCTTGAAGGACTCTAGGAGCATAAATCTAAAAAGCAATCTTGGTTTACAAACAAGAGATGATGTTGAAAATGAGTACTTACCAAGAATTCAGCACTGTCAAGGCCAAGAAGGTTTAAAAATTTGTACAATCCTGCTACCACTAACGGGGGTATGTAACTTCTTATACCTTTACTCCACTCCCAAGTCAAATACCCATATTCATAAACCAAATTATGGGCAACTTCTAAAGTCTGCCAATATTCATCTGGCACATAAAACGTTTGGACGAAATACACAGATACTAATCTTACAGTTAGAAATATCAAGAACACATCCAGGTTTTTCATTTTGTACTATTGGTTTTTAAACACAAAGTTTTGAATAAGGTTTTATATATCTTTTACTACGGCACGTGCGAAACGTGAGTATAAAACGTAAGTATTTCTTTTTTTATTGGGAACAGGTGTTATTTTTAGATTTTGTCTCGTAAGAGATTATTTTGGTTCGGCTAAATTGTATTTTTAATTTTAAGGTTATGTTGTTTTGTTTATGGGTAAACTCATACTCAATCAGATCATTGTGATTTTCAAAAACTTATCAATTTATTTTATGTCCTTGATATTTTAGTTATTTTGCAATATTTGCTTTATTTGATAATCTTATCGCAACATTTTGATATATGATTATTTCATTTACATTTACATTTGCATTGCATTCCAATTTCCAATGGAATTAATTTACTTACACGATGGATAAAAAATGGCGGTGGTATGTATAGATGCGCCATCTTCACTGCGAATGTACAACTCTGGTACAATACTAAACCCATAGATAAAATTTATAGATTGGTAACAGGGATAAGCAATGTCAAATCACGTTCGGATTTAGGCGCCCATTCGTTTGGTGGCGCTGCTAGTCTCGTTTCTACGCGTAGGGAGTGTGCTGTGGTCAAATCAAAAGTTGAATTTAGACAAATACGGCGCCATATTTTTATTTGTTTTATTTTTTATAATTTATTTTATAGTTTAAATTTTTTTATATAAGTAGTGCAAAAAGGTAAAATTTTAGACGATTTTTTATTATGGAATCGAACACATTACATGGAATAACAATATAGTGACGAAGAACTGAACAAAAAAGATGTATTCCAGATTGCATGGATACTAGGCAAGCACACTACCGCTGGCAAGCAATACCGTTTTTCAAGTCCAGGAGATTATAATATGGATATGTTTGATAAATGGGTGAATGCTGTTAAAAGCCCTAATTAGAGAATGCTGCAACAGAAACTATCTATAACAATTTTCGTGTATGCGCTAGTCATTTTAAAGAGGATGATATAATTAATGTTGGACATACCGGTATTACGAGAACAGCCCTTCTGAGTTTGTTTTTACCAGCACCAGGTAAGAACTATTATGCCAATATATGTATGTATGTGACCTTTTACTTATAAAATTAGTTAATTATAAATTTAACCTAATTATAAAATCAGACTTACTTGCTTACTATTTGAATTATTTTGTAGGTGGTGGTTCAACAACTATCTTAAAAAATCATCACCTTAGAGAGGGTTCGACATAATTTCTACAGGTGTGCCTGTTTCAAAGTTGGATTAGATTAGCAGACCATGACTACACTATCATATGGAGAGGTCCATGAGCTTGCCGTTAAGTGCGAGGAGGGATCTGTCTCTCTCTTGTGAGTGAGATTGGTCTTAGAGTACCATATATTATCATGGTTTGTCTCATCTATGTACTTTTAATCAAAAGAACAACCTAAATCTAAATGTATTTAATATGTCTCTCAATAAATATATAAATATTAGTAGAAAAGAGTTACTGGTAAGATAGAGTTTGGAAACGTAACTTTGTAAAATACTTCATATTATTATTGTAACTAGGTAATACTTTACATATTTTTTTATTTTTAATGTTATTTTTCCATCTTTATAGTGCTGGATCTTAGAATCTTAGAGCTAACTGTTGGGTTTATAGGTTTAAATATGACTAAAATATTATCATATAAATGTATATAAAGTTCTTTCTAGAACTAAATCATTTAATTTTTCTGTTTCCAACTTAGCAGAGTTCTTGAGTTCTGTTTTTCTGTGAGTAGAACGCCAGACAGTAAGAGTTCTCACTGACCACTGGTAGTGTGTGTTATTAGATTAGGATGTAAGTACTACAAAGAACTCAGAATTATTAGGCTTTAATTTGACATTAGAATTCCAAAAAAATTATTTAATTACTGACAAGTTCTTGTCACAAGATTTAGAACACTAAATTATACTACATTTACCCTTCCCTATTTGTGAACAAAATATTGCAACTATCTTGGTTTATTTTTAGCTCCAGCTGATTTACAGCTAGATTGAAAATCTGAATTTTCCAATCTTGGTTCATAATTATCATCAGGTTTTTGAACAGGTAAATTTTCTGTCACATCTGGCATTGATTTAGTAGTGGAATTCTCTAATGTGTTATTTGGACTTCATCTTCATCATTATCGTGATTCAATAATATAACAATTCAATAGTAAACTTCTTATATAGTACAGAGCTCCTGGTAAAGCAGTTTTTCATTTAGTGATGTCTAAATATTTGGTTTTCAATGCTAGATTCACCAATTTCTATATAACTCATTGTATCTTTCAACTTAACCATTTCCTTCATGGTTATATGGTGTTGTTCTACTTGAAATATTCCTTTAGAGTGGAGATAATTAATAAATTCTTGTGAAGTAAAGCTAGTTCTCCTTGTCAGATTTTATATATGCCAGCATTCTATATAAACAAAATAGTGATTTAATCTGTGATTATGTCTGCATTTTTTTAATACTTCAACGCATTTGCATGTTTTCATTCTGAATCTGTGAGAGTATGTGTGAAAAAAGCAATTGGTTTTCCCCATTGATTGCTTCGCTTATGTAATTATAGACTAAATTTATTACAAGCATGTACTTATTTTGTCTTCTAGGGATTTATCTTTAGATTCATTGCTTTCTAAAAATATCTTGAATGTTATATACCAATGTTTGAATTCTTTGCAAATTTTGAGAATAAAATTGTAGTAAAAGGCCTTTTGCAGAATTAGGCTTCTATTTACATAAAACTTGACATACTAAGACAAAACAATTATTTAAATACTGACCAGTTCTTGCCACAACATTAAGAAAACTAAATTATAGTACACTTGGCTTGTATTATTAATATTTCTTGTAACACATATAACATTTCTTGTAATATTTTTATAAATAAAGATTTTATTCTATATTTTATTCTTTAATTTTTTGACCACTTTGGCATTTTAATGTAATGTAAAATAAATATAGTCTCAACATAACAAGAAAACCCAAAAAGTATACGAAAAATATTTATTATCGTATAGGATAAGGATTTTTCTTGTTATTTTAAGATTATATCGATTTTCCTTTACTTTAAAATGAGTTCACAATCCTAGGTAATATTACAAAAATTTTGAATTTCGCGCCATGTATTTATAGTTAGGCGCCCGGTCACTAGGTGATGCGCCAATCATTGTTTTACTCGTCAACACGGAAGTTTCAATGCTAGGTGGTAGTGTGCTATGACTAAACCACATAAGTTGTGTTCGGTTTTAGAAAAACGGAGCGGAGCGAGCAGATGCAGATTTGATATCACGTGATCACAGATCTAATCGAGTGAAAGTTATTTAACGAACGCTCGTTGAAATGTCATTTGTCATTGTCGACAATCCTTAAATAAATAACTTGACCTGTTTTTAAATTTTTGGCGTTCTTTTGTTTTCGGTGTGTTGGATCATCAATTATATTTTTCGATAATTTTGAATATTCAGTCTGTAAAAACAGAAGTGAAGAGATATTGGTAATTATTAATGATTCCATTAGAGTTATCTGACCCATCCAAGGAATAGCTAGGATAAAAAAATTTAGGGATTATCACAGTTGATTAGTTTATTTATTTATTGTGGATTTATTTAAAAAATAACAATTACTTTTAACACTGTAAACAAATGTTACAAATGACAACTGAAAAATCCGTCTAATCTGCTTCTCAACTTCGAGGGAACAGATCGAATCTTTTCGCTCCCTCTGACAATTAACGAACGCGGAGCAGATCAGACGGAGCAGGTAGATGTATTTACCGAACGCTTGCGGAGCCAACAGAGCTAATCGAGATATCAGATATGTATTAACCGAACGCAACTATAATAGACAACAACGCAACAACTATACTGTGACTAGACATAAGGTGAAATAGGAAGATTTTTTAGTTCTCAAGATACTAAAATGTAGAATTCTATTTAATTTAAAGTCACATTTTACCATAGATGTAGCAATTCGCTGTGAGCTTCGCCGGTAGCGCTATCTCGCGGTTTGAAACTTGTACTTTTCTTGTAAAATCGGTGTAAGTGAAATATGACAAAACGAGAAAAATAGATATTTATCTAAAAATACAAAGTTATGAACTAAAATATTATTGTAAACTGATTACTGAACGAATATACAGAATTAATAGTAAAAGTATTTACGCCTTTTTATTTTATTCATTATAATTTTAATATTTAAGATATAAGTTCCTGCGACTGGATGACTACTTACGTAAGAGGCCAGGGAGAAAAAGAAGAACTTTATGTGAAAATATTTAATGGTTAAAGGTTACCTTTACCTCTCGTAACCATGATACTATGACTAAGCAGATAAGATAACGCATAAGTCGAGACGTCATTGGAGAGTTGCACGTTCGAAATGTCAGTTTTTTGTGTGTATCAATAAATAATCTTTAATAAATAGTTTGGAGATATCCTTATGTGTACGATTATTGTAATTATTAAACCTCTTAACTTATCTTCGTCTAGTAATTTCATCACAGAATGCATACAACTCCCATTTAACTTTAACAAGAATTCAAATTCTACTCTCCAATGACGGCATGCGTGAACACGACCGATTTTGTGCTACGGGACTGTTAGTCATAGTATCATGCTTGTAACGTTGTAATTCTTGTTTTCATTTTGCATTTTCATTCTGTTTTTGCTGTTATTTTTTGTGTGCTTAGGCCTTAGTGCTTAGATATCAATCTATTTTAATTTTATCAAAATGGATATTAAACATTATACTGGTTTTAAATCTATATCACATGATATCCCATTTTAACCAGCTACACCAAAAATCTTATTGATAGCAATAATCCATTTTTCTCTTTGAACTACATATTTTATGCTTGGCAACAGGAAATGAATAAAATTTACAATCACTTATACCCAGTATTTTTACATGTATCAATACAACAGCTGCTATATCTTTTTCTTTTTGAAAAATCCATATTCGCCATTATTTGAATGTTTACAAGTTAAATGCACAAAACTGCCACTAACAGCGTTGGTGAAAACTGTCAAATCCCCTCTACTCATCGGCTCACAGCGAATAGAAGTCTGCGTACTTAACCATTTCTCTGCAAAAACCGCAAGTGCCGCAACAGCAATGCCGCCGCTTTATTTTAAATTCAAATATGGTCTCAGTTGTTGTTTGTTGAAGGAA